CCCCTAGAGGATGCAGTGTCTCGTTCCCTACTCAGGGAACCATGGTTACATAAGTAACCTGAGACGTTTTAATGTTTTTGTCTTGTCGCTCAGGCCGGGACACGCCATCACAGTATGGTAAGGGGCGTAACAATTCCGTCACATGCTTGAGGTATTCGGCCAATCACAACGCACTGGATAGCAATAAAACATTCCATTTACACCACTCAGCAGTGCAAGCAATGCATTTAAGCCCAATGCCAGGTTTTAAATGTGATGAAATAATGTACACAAGCTAAATGTGTATTCTCTCATGGATCAAGGATGACAGGGTGACTAATAAGCATGGAAATGGCAAGATGGCTAGGCGGCTATTTGGTGGTGGAAGAGCGTGATGAAGCTCAGACAGACTCATCCCCCATAAACAGCATTCTTTCAGTCTGACTTACAACCTGGCACACTGGAGCCACAGACCCACTCAACAACATCACCACCAGGAACATTCCTCCTGCACTTCTTTAAACATAAAGCTCACTAAATTTAGCGTGAGATGGATATTTTACAACTTTTGGTTTATCTGTTCGTTTAGAGTGTTTTTGTCTGGGTGTGTGCATGTCAATGTGTCTTTGATTTTCGATTTTGTTTCATTATGACATGATACATGATACATGATTGTATGACACTAAATGACAAAAATTACGTATAGTGTATATTTTATGATTTTTTTTATATATATATTCATTTATTATGAATATATAAATGCCTAAACATTAATAACTTTATTTTATAGTGTAAAGTATTAGGTACTGTATGTCAGTCACAGTATACTCTACTGATCACAAGCTTGAGGTCAAAATATTACTAAAATATACTACTAATATTAATTAAAAAAAATACAAAAATGTTAGTTATTTAAAAAAAAAAGTTAATTATTTTTGTTCAGCAAAGACACATTAAACTGACTAAAAGAGACTGTTAAAGACATTTATCCTGCTGTGCTTCTTTAAACATAAAGCTCACTAAATTTAGCGTGAGAGGGATATTTTACAACTTTTGGTTTATCTGTCCATTTAGAGTGTTTTTGCCCGAGTGTGTGCATGTCAGTGTGTTTTTGCATTTTGATTTGCTTTTAGGGCATTATTGCATGATACATTTGTGACTGTATGATTCTAAATGACAAAACTTATGTATAGTGTATATTGTATGTATATATAAATGCCTAACACTAAATAATTTTATTTTTTAGTGTACAATTAAGTGCTGTATGTCACAGTGTACACTACTGATCACAAGTTTGAGGTCAGAAGACAGTAAAATATTACAGATAGTTTAAAATTAGTTAATTATAAAAATTGGAGTTAATTATAATTTTTGTCCAGCAAGGACACATTAAATTAACCAAAAGGGATGTAAAGATATTTATAATGTTACAAATGATTTTTGATATTGTTCTGTAATTTAAATGACATTACTGGAATAAATGAAATATACATGAAATTCACTTTTTTTTTTTTTAAAGTGGTCTGATCACATAATAATAATAATAATAATAATAATAATAATACAATTATTAAATTTTTCTTGATTTTCTTCAAATACCATGTCTCATTTCATTTCACACTGATGTCAACCAGAACTGATTTTTGAAAAAACTTCATATAGGGTAAAATATTTTATGGTCACATAATATCACAATTGGGAAACTCACAATTTATATAAATATTATAAATATTGACCACTATAAATATTGAAATAGTTTATACATTCATTTATTGACATTTTCAGGAACAAGGATTAAAAATATCAAATCTATAAATAAAAGGTATCTGAAAAGTAGAAAAAAGGATGAAGTAATGGTAACAAGTCAACAAGTTTCCAAGGGATTTAATGTATGAAAACAAAAACAAAAAGACTGAACATTTATTTAACAAAAATAAAAAACTTTAAATCTAACAAACAATCCAAAATGTACCCGAAGTTGTGGGAAAAAAACACCCATTTGAGTACAGAAGTAAATCTGGTGGTTGATATTTTTTTGTCTAGTCCCACTACTCAGTGTATTTCATACTAAGCCTGTAATACATCATCTATAAACAACTAAGTGATGTGCAGGTTATCAGAGCTGCAGCAGTTAATAGGAAGAGACAAAAACCAGCCTCTGTGCTGGCTTTGGATGAGATGACGGATTGTTTCCTTCTTCACACAGTCTCTTATTTATTGTTGGATGTGGTATGTGTTTCAGGGAATGCCCATGGAAAACTTCTGGAGAATTTCAGATTAAAAGTGACACTAATATGGCACTTGGACTTCAACATGCGACCCAAGGCCCCGGAAAAGGTGAGCATTATTTAGATGATGTCTAAGTAGTCTGTTTAGACTTTAAGGTAATGTAATCTTTAATGTTAAAATAAGAGGTTGATTATCTTGAAAAGTGCACTATCAGACAATGCTAATCAGTTGTTGCAATGTTGGCTCAACCAATGATGTGAGTTTCAGACCAACAGCGGATAATGTCTGAAAAACCTCGAAAACTTCAAAAACAGTCATTCATTTTGAAATTTCATTTGGTGATGCAGAAATGACATGTTTTGACAAATCAAAGCCAGAGCCTATTAAAAGCCTCTGTCTCTTCTGAAGAATAAATCATTTAAGTTAAATATAACCTTTACTCTAATGTACTAAATTAAGTGTGAAAGACAACCTGGTCTAATATATGTGTACATTCATCAGGAGTTATCACTTTGCTGTGAACCCTAAAACGAATATCAGGTGTCCTTTAAAAAAGAATCAATACCCCAAGGTTAGAAGATCAATGTCCAATTTAATTCCTCAGCGGGCTTGTTTTAATTTCTCAGAAGTGTCCCGGGGCAGGACTTCTTTGAAGCGAAGCAGGCCGGGGCTCAAGAAATCAGGTTTCAGACAGGTTTGACTCAAGGTCGATCAGTGTTCTTACTAACACCTTAGGAGGACGACTTTAGTCATCTCTGCTAATTTCCACAAGAGAACTCTGAGAGGATGGGAATGTGCCCTCTGCTACTGTCTCTCTACCCTTCAGGAAATTGCTTTAATGTTTCATTTCCCCCGACACAGGATCAGAATGAAAAACAGCGAACTGTCCCCTCATCACTCAAACGAGCAGCGTACAGTCATCTGGGCAGCATCCCAAACCGCACGACTGCCAACCATCTTACTGCGGAGCACGTGCTGAACTCTGGGTGATGTCAAAAGTCCATCTGCGATAATTTTGATGGAAAACATTTCAAGGGAGACGTACCGTCTCTCTAAACATTAAAGAACAATACGCAAGTAAAACATAAAACAAGATTTTCCTTGTATGGCCCACTCTGATAAACCACAGTGTGTTTGTCAGAAGCAAAGAGTTTAGCCAATGATAACTGAGCTCATTTACATAGACTGGTTTTGCTACTGTACCATTAACACTATGTTTAATTTTTTATTTTAGAAAAAGGTTTAATATTTTCATGTATTCTATGCAAAAAAGTAAATGAAACTTCAATTGTTTTTATTAATATATATATGTATATACGTGTATATTATGTATGTATATAGTTTTTTATGTTTTTATTTATTTTAAGTATTATACTATTGAATTAAAAAAAATCAATACAGTATGTATCACTGTTTCCACAAAACTATTAAGCAGCATGACTGTTTTCAACATTACTTATAAGAAATGTTTCTTGAGCAGCAAACTTCCTGACCCCAAATTTTTGAACAGAATAAATGAATTAATGATTGAATTAATTAATTAATGAATAAATAAGGGGGAGGGTGATAAAAGGGGATGTGAGATTTAAAAACAGGAAATATTCATTGTGAGATATAAAGTGGTCACAATAAGAAATAAATTGTGAAAATTGATGAAAATTGTAAGATAAAGTCAATTATGAGAAAATAAGTTGCAAATGAAAGATATGAAGTCACATAAAGAGAAATAAAATCATAATTACAGTAAATAAAGGTATCAGGGGAAAAAGTCATAATTAACTTTTAATTTCATTTCATTTTTTTTTTTTTTTACTCTGAAGCAGAAATGGGTTTCCACCAAAAAAAAATGCACAAGATACTGTATACGTGAAGCAAATCTGTTGCTCTGCTTACAGAGATGTCAAACAGGTTGTAATGAAATCCAGTTCAAATCCAATTTCTATGCTGGATCATCCTGTTTTTGTGCCTATAGCCTCAGACAGGCTGATCTGCACCATTTCAAGGCTGCTTCAGTCACGGCACGCATCTCCTTTCAACATATAGCCAATCAGAGCAGGCCGATGTGTCAGCATGTCTGCTCTGATCCTTGGTATCACCTCAAGTCACACTGACAACTCACTGCGCTTCACAGGACTGTTTATCCAGCCATAAGAGGCGTTTGCCCTCGCTGCTGGAGATGACGCGTGTCCATGAATGCCCAAAACTACATGCTCATGACAGAAGCAAGGAATATAAAACACACATGCTGACATTTTTATAGAGAATCTCTCTAATAATAATAGTTGATTTCGTTTCAACTTTCTTGAGTTAAAGCAGATTTGAGTCCTGTCATCTTCAAGTATTTGCTTTCTCTGAAATACAGTATTCCCCGGTGCAGTTTAATGTCATTTTGGTGTATAACCAAGACTAGACATTTCTGCATCATAATTTATTAAATTGTACAATTTTACATTCAAAATGCCTTGGCTGAACTTTGACTCTTGCCAACTGACTTGTGTTAATCTGGGACATTTTAATACTTAATAGGACATTTATTCATCATAATACTTACCACAACTTAAACGGGGTATAAGATACTTAACATTTGCATTTAAATTCTTATTTAAGTTAGTATGCCAGGGAGGTTTCATCTGATTATGTTGGAGACATTCCTTTTTGTCAATATGACAGTTTCTCCATACATCCTCCAACATACGATTTGGCAAACGTTCCTCTCGTTCCCTGAATTCTCAGGACTGCCTACCCCTGAAAAATAGCACTGATCTATTAAGAGCATTTATTTTATAAATAATGCCATGAAGACTTAATTGGTTAACAAATCTTATGTCAAAACTGGCCATGGGTATGAGCTAAAAACATCTCATGACTTACAAAAAGACATGTTTGACTAAAGCTTACAAACATGTGGGGAAAAATGTCCATTTCGCATTCCTATTAAGGCTAGGAGAGTTGAGTTTATGGGACGTCCCCTGATGCATTTATAATGGCATTGAAGAAAGAACATAATAACAGTGCCAGATGTTTAACTTATTACAGCTTATGAATAAATGTAAAATAAATCACAGTAAGCTCAGTTACAGTTCAGCTCATTAATAGGAAAATCAGTTACTCATTTTCCTGATAATAAAGACAATCCCCCTTCCCCTAAAACTGATCAAAAATTACATTTTTAATGTTACAAAAGATTTATATGATCAATGTTGTTCTTTTGAACTTTCTATTCATCACAGGATCCTGAAACAATGTATCACAGTTTCCACAAAAATATTTAGCAGCACAACTGATTTTGACATTGATAATAATAATAAATGTTTCTTGAGCTCCAAATTCAGTTTTGCCATCACAGGAATAAATTACACTTTTAAATATATATTAAAATAGAAAGCAGGTATTTTAAATTGTAAAACTATTTTACAATATTATACAGTTTTTACTTCAATTTTAATCAACTAAATGCCTTGGTGAGCATAGAAGACTTCCTTCAAAAACAAAAACCTTACCATTGCAAACTTTTGAACAGTAGTGTATTTTTTCACAAAATTACATTTTTGATCTGTGTTGTTTTTGTAATACTTTCAATTTGGAGGTTTAATCTGAGGAGCATTGTTCTTAGGTGTCAAAACTGGAGTTCTGAAGAAAATTATTTTTAGAAATCGTTAGAATGTGCACATCAGACAGATGTTTTCTTTAGTACATGGTTTGATTTGAGTAAGTAACACTTACTGTACATCAGCAGAGGTCAGCCTATAATTCTGACAATTAGATTTAATTATTGTATTGTAATTATGTTTTATGTCAAAGTTTCTTTAGATACCGGCTAATCGGCAATCCTGTTGTTTGGTGAGTGTTAAGTTAACTACAGACCCTGTAATATGTGAATTAATATAAAGTAAAATTCTAAAAACATAAATTGCCATCTAATCACCAAATACAGAACACTTGCAGAACAAATTAATGAAAACTCCAAATGATTCGGTTCACGCCTCTGCTCTGGGGTTTATCTTGACACTGGCAGTGCTATAGTTCACTTCCCTCCATTCCAGTAGCACATGATTATCTCTAAAGCACAATCGCAAGATGAAACAGTAAATTTCACAGGCGATTGGCTGTTTCATGATGAACCGAGAGAATCTAGTTTTGTAATAAGACCAAACGTTACATGTTACTGGACATTTATATATTTTTTTAATATTCTGCTGCCATAAAGGAACAAAAGCACCTCTCTGTTCTGATTCTTTTATCATCTGCTCTTTTTTTGGCTCTCTGGGACTCTTTTCAACTTCAAAACGCATCGAAAATCATTTGTCTCTAAATTCGGGATTCTGAGAAATATAATACGGAGAGCAATTTGGTTGAAAGCCCATGTAAATACACTTGAGCCAGCTGCTGGCTTTCTTTTAAAACTCTAGTGCTTTCTATGACTGTTTGTCTCTGGCAGACACACGCATGAACACACACACACACATGCATGTACGCACTCGCATTTCCAAATGCACACAAACACAGTCTCTGCCCCAAAGGTGGTCCCAGCTGGCATAGATTCAGGCTAGATAGTGGGCACTAAAAGGTTCAGGGTCCTGAAGTGCCCTCAGATTTTTTTTGTGGTTGTAGCACATGTGGAGGGAACAACAGTGCCTTTCAGACAAAATATCTTCCTTTACCACTGCCACTCATGCATAGCTCCTGCAGGATGGTTAGCACAATGATCCTAAACACTGTGTACAATCAAAAGCCCCATACTGACGGAATCTTTTTTGAAGACGTGTATGTGCAGTAAATCTGGGAAAGATCTGACTAAATTTAGTCACTCACCTTGGCTGCATTCGGGGTGGGCTCAAAGCAAGCGCTGTGGATGCTGGGATACACGTCGGACCAGCCTTCCATAGTGCAGTTCCTGCTAATGATGCCTAGAACAAACAGACATTGCTTTGTTAACAGCCAGTTTATCAGAGAGATTAACGGCAATTTAGACTGACAGCCAGCATTAGTGAGTGTTTTGGTAAGTAACGCTTCACAACGGTGCACATCACCGAAAGCCCAGAGATATCAGAGAAAACTAAACACAGAAATAAGCTAATCAAAGAAATGAATCAAGAATAGAGTAAAGCTCAACACAGCCTACCAAGAAATGTTTCACCCAAAATCAAAAGCCAAAAAAAAAGCAAAACATTTAAAGAAAATGATGCTTTAAGTATCACTGTAATTTTTGCCATTATTTTTATGCTACTTAAATGCATTTCATTCCTCAATTATTGTTCTAGCTTTTTTTTTTTTTTTTTTACTATTTAAACCAAACATACTGCATATACACTATCGTTCAAAGGTTTGGGGTCAGCAAGAATTCTTTTTTTTTTAAGAAATTTATTTTATTCAGCAAGGGTGCATTAAATTGATCAAAATAGACAGTAAACATATTTACAAAAGATTTCTGTGCTGTTCTTTTGAACTTTCTATTCATCAAAGAATCTTGGAAAAAAAGCATCACAGTTTCCACTTATTAAATTATTAAGCGGCACAACTGTTTTCAACATTGATTATGAGAAATGTTTCTAGAATGATTTGAGGGAACATGTAACACTGAAGACCAGAGTAATGGCTGCTAAAAAAAATTCAAATAAATTTAAATAGAACGCATGTAATTTCAAAATACTGTATAATTATAATATTATTGTTAAAATAAATGCAGCCTTCGTGAACATAAGGGATTTTAATAAAAATTAACATTATTAACATTTTAAATTAAATTCAAGGCAGTAAAAACAAATGTTGTTTACACTCAAATGTATTTATTCAGCATGGTAATATAACATTTTTCCAAGTTATGTTAATGAGAATATAAGCATGAGACTGCTCATAATGAGAATCAAGGGTTTGAATGCGAATTGAATACTGCATGCAAAAATCTTAATGATCCTAAATATAGGCATCTTTTTTTAAGCAAAATATGTTTTTTTTATATATTTTTCCTTTTAATTGTTGAGTGGAGAGACTCTTTTTTTACTGTGCCTTTTTTAGGTGTGATTTCCAGCTACATGTGCTGCACTCACTCATTATACTTTAAATACTTTTAATACATTATACTAAATCCATATGGCACCAGTGATAATGGAATAGCTTTGTACATCACTAATGCATTCAGTCAAGGCTGAGAGGCAGAGGCTGAGTGTTAAGTATAAATACAGACTATTTGTGTTTCATGCATTAAAAGTGTCTGCGTGTAGGCTTGCTAATACTCTCAGTAACGAAACAACAGCCTCCTACACGTTGCATTGCATCAATGACCAACATTACACCTGGAGAAGAGCAGCTGGCAGGCTAACAAAGAGTACATGAACACATTTACACATCAACCAAACATTACAACACCCAACAGACAAGAAAACCAGTAGGCTGCAACATAGATTTTTGAACATTTGATTTAAAAATAGTACTGGATAAAGTGAAGAACAACAAAATGTATTTTAAAGATAACGCATGATAAAATACTTTATTCTATCCCAGCTGAATGTGCATAGACAACTACCTGTTTAAGTAAACAAACTATAGGTTGATTTATCTGAAAGCTATTGAAAAATTATGTAAAAGTTGTATAATTATATTTATTTATTATAAAACACAATCATCTCATTTATAATTCATCATTATGAAAATGTATTTTTGCAATTTGTAATGTAAAAATGTAAGAAGTAAATTAGATTAGTCCAACACTTTTCACAAAATATCGTTAACAACTTTTTTTTTTCATTTATAGAGTAATTTATGAAAGCCCATTTCCGCCATGAAAAAAAAAAACTTAATTTTTTTTTGTTTATTAATTGTGACTTCTTACAATCTTACAATTCAATTAGATTTTTTCCTCAAAATTACTTGATATAAAATTAGACTTGCAAAATATAAACTCACAATTCAGAGAAGAAAAGTTGGAATTGTGAGCTATAAACTCGCAATTAGAGAAAAAAAAAAGAATTGTAAGAAAATTATTATTACCTATTATCTATTATTATAAAAGCAATTATCTTTTTTATCCTTTATTTATTGTTTCTTGTGGTGGAAACAAGCTTTTTTTCCCCCAGAGATATTTTTTTCAAACATTTTTCCCAGAGATAAAAAATTGGCATCAGTTTTAATAAGAATTTAATGGATTACAAAAAAAAAAAGGGAAATCAGGGAGAGGACTTTTCGGACCTACAAAAGCCAAAGATAACTGTATATTTACTAACATCAGTACTCTGTGATTGTGAAAACACTTTGTGCGACTACTTCTAATGCGTTACTCAGAGCTTCTTGTGACATGAGTATGTTCTATGTATATTTTAGGACTGAGGAAAGCAGAATTAATATTTAATGGCATTTCATCGGGCCAAATATGAGGGCGAGCACAACTACATCACTGTAGAGCACTTTGCTAGAGAGAGAGAATGTAAACTCTCCTGACATGTATCAACATGGAGATTTATTTTTGTCTGTGTGCAGCCTGAAACAAATCCCCCAAATACACACCCAGCCATGCAGATCAGAACACACATGTGTATACAGACACTCAAACACACACATGAGCCCAACAAAAGGGGCTGTCTGTGCAAACAGACAGATTCAGGCTTTATAATAAAAGTGCTAACTGACCCATCTTTGAAAACCTGGACCACCTTATTCACCCTATTCACATCGATCTGCTAATTTACGTCAACATGTGAGCTTTTATCTTGAATTCAAACAGTCAGAACGGTAATCAAACATGCATTTTTGTCCAGGAGCATAAGTGCTTTGCGGGAGCACAATGTGGGACTGATTTGCTGCTTCAACAAATGCAAAGGCGCAGAGCTTTGTGCAGCACAAGCCTGACAGACAGCTACTTTCCATTCTGTACATGGCACATCAGTCCAAAACCCTCACGTCTAACATGACATTCGTAACAAAGAAAGAATGATACATGTGGAGTCATTTTTAAGTCCTCCAGAGGGCTACTGTAGAGAAGACAGGTGTACTGCAGTAATGTAACCCATGGGTTTTATTTTTTATTTATTTATTTTGATGCAAAAGACCCCTTGACTATTAAATATTTAAAAAAAAAATTTTTTATTGTAATATTTCACAATATTACATTTTTGTATTTTGTATCAAATGGAGCCTTGGTGAGCATAAGAGACTTCTTTCAACAAAAACAACAATAATAATAATAATAAATAAATACATCTTTGGAATGGTACACATATCAGGGTTATTTTAGTATCATTGTAATAATATTATAGTTTTTAATAATATTTTAAAGTATTACAATTTTAGTTATTTTGTTTACTTTTTTCAGTTGTATTTAATTAAATTTAATTTCAGTTTAGTACATCAAGACAAACTAAATAAAAATATGAAATGTTGTTTCGGAAACTAGCTGAAATAAAATAAGTTAAACAGTTTTTTATATATATATATATTTTGTTTTATTTCAGTTAAAGTTTCAAGAACAAAAAAGTAACAAAAAATAAATGTTAAGTAACAAAAATTGTTTTCTATATTAAGTATATTACTATTTATTACAATTTAAGTAATTATTTTGGATGTTTTTTGCATTTATTAGTACACAGCTGCTCTATTTATTATACATAAATAAACGTAACAATATAAATTTAAAAACTGTGCAGCGCTGTTGCACTTCAGGGGTCCTGAGTTTGAGTCCTGGCTTGCAGACCTTTCCCGATCCCGTCCCCCCTCTCTCCCTATTTGCTTCCTGTCCACTTACTGTCCTATTGAAATAAAAGGCATACAATCCAATTTTTTATAGAAATAAATATTTCACAATAAATATCCCTTACAACCTCCAGTATTAATGTAAAAGCTGAAAGTGGAAAAGAAAAGTACAATTTTGCAAAGTAGACCATTTTTTTTTACACTTTCTTTCTCTAAAACTTGACCCCAACTGAAACGGAAACCCCCCTGATGTATCGTACATGAGCTCAGTCGAAGAAGAGGAGAGGGCTGAGCCATTTACTGCCCACACAACCTCGAGGCACCTGAATCTACCTCGTACAATGAGAACAAGTGAAATATATATATATATATCTGTTCTACCCCTTACAATCCATTAACCTCTGTCAAATGATTGGAAATATATCCCTCCGAATACTGGGTTAAGAAAGTGCTTTGCTTTTTTGAGAGCTAGGGGGGAAAAAACAGCAAATAATATCTGGGGTAACAGTAAATGGAGCATAAATGATGCTGATGATGATGACAGTGATTCATCTGTGAAAAGTTCAGCCATACATTAGAAAGCTTGATTGGAAATGATAATCGTGTGCTATAAAACCACAGGTCAGCATGTATTTCCAGATGTTCTGGTCTAATTTGGCTCCTTAACTCGTGGATATCCAGCGGCACCATGTGTTCATGTGTTCCAGCATGAACTCTCCGAGCCAGCAGGTTAGAATGTTCACAAGGGCTGGAAATAGCCTGATTGGGGAATCAGGGCTGTATGTACTCCCACACTCTGGAGCTTGATAGACAACTTCTCTGTAGGGAAGAAAGGGTGTGCTGGTTCTGTGCCATTGGCTCGGGTCCACGGGTCAATGAGCATGTCCGAGCAGAAGGGGAAAGACATGATTCACTCACTCCAGCCTTCAGTTTATTCCCTTACTCATTAATTTACTCACACTCACACATGCACGCTCACAATCAGCACAGTTCACTCTTTCATTTACAAAAAGCTGGCCTTCAAATTGAAAATAAGAACAGTACATTACTTATCTGCTTTGTACACATACGAGCAGAACTAATCATAAACTTCATAAAATAGGGTTTTACAGCTTAATGCCATAGGACGACCTGTTTAGGTTTGTATATGCACTGGTGAAACCCTTTGGAGAACATCTAGACATCTGTTCATAAAGGACAGCTCTCTGAGGTACTTACAAAATAGAACCTGTAAGTTCTTGAAAGACTGTCAACTATTTCTTCATTAACGTCCAAAAAAGTGAAAGGTTTTGAAATATATATTGAAGTTTCTTTAAGACAGGGCCCAAACTTTTTAATCCAAAGGGCCAAAAATCAAACTTTACAAAAGTAAATGTTGCATTATATCCAAATATATTATATTAAAATGAATTAAATTCAATTATTAAAGGGATAGTCGTTAATTGCCCACCTTCATGTTGTTCCAAACCCATAAGCACAAGAACCAGAACACAAATGATATTTTTGATGAAATCCAAGAGCTTCATAGACAGAAACACAACTACCACATTCAAAGCCCAGAAAGGTAGTAAGGACATCGTTAAAATAGTCCATGTGACATCAGTGGTTCAATCGTAATTTCTGTATTTTATTAAAAATATCTTAATTTGTGTTCGGAAGATGAAAGGAGGTCTTAAGGGTTTGGAACGACATGAAGGTAAGTAATTAATGACATCATTTTCATTTTTGGGTGAACTATCCCTTTAATTTAAATAATTCAACAATAATAAATAATTTTTGGGGATTTTTAAATTACTATTTAAAAATCACTTAATTCTATTTTAATTTTAATAATTTTTTACGCTTCAAAAATGAAACAAAAAATTTTAAAATACAAGCAAAATTATAAATTATATACATTCAAAAATTGGAAAGGAAGATGCTTTAGTTGAATGTTTTTTGTTATATTGCATGGCAGGTCAAATCAAAGGTCATCACAGGCCCTGTTTAAGCATAATATCTTAAAAGGGCAACAACCAGGATAAATGACAGTTTGCAAATATTAATGTAAAATTTACCATCTCTGGAGAACAAATTTTTTAGGGCAGCGGGGCAGGTGTTGACGACCACCTCTCCAATGTCGGCATGGTGCCAGCAAGAAATATTGTCCCACATTCCCCTGCAACCTGTAAGGACGTAGAAACACAAAAAAATATAAAAGCTTAACACATCTGGATCTTAAAATTTGCTGAAATAGCAGAACTTTCAGCAAAATTAGTGCAGCAATGTACGTGAGAAACTTGACATGTGTTTGACAGGAACCTGGGAAAATGTTTAGTTTGGGATAAGATCCGCATTCATTGACTTATGTTCTTGAGAGTCTTTCTGCTTTATGTGTTGAGTGTATTTGAATATGTGTTCTCTTTTAACCTAACCCTACAAATATCATCCAAGTTTGCCTTTCATTTAGCATAGGTTAGGTATTACAGATACATATACTACAGATAGATAGGTTAGATACAACCAAAAAAAACAAAAAAAGGGTAAAGTCACTGGATCTCATGAGACCAGCCCACAGGGACAGGACGCATTCCAGCATCTGCGGTTAGATAAGTGTGTTGTGAAGGTCTGGACATAAATAGAAAGATGGTCAAAGAGGTCTGACTATGACATCACACCACCATACATCATCATCTACAACATCCAAACACTCTCAGAAACATCACAGCAAAGAGGACATGCAGTCCTTTACGTACTAAAGGAATAATTGACCTAAACATTTCAAATTCTGTTTTAATTTACTCACCATCATGTTGCTCCAAATCTGTTTTTTTTTTTTTCTTCTTCTGTGGAACACTGTGTGTACGAGTAATAATGTACGAGTCATATCAATCACTTTTATGATACATTTACGCCGCTTTTTAGATCTTGAGAGGCCAGTCGCTCATTCCCTGTCTGTATATGGAAAAGAGTGGGCAGTACAAAATATTTTATAATATTATACACTACTGTGCAAAACTTTGGGGTCAGAGTCAATTTCATCTTGTGCTCCAAAGAAGAAGAAGAAAAACGTCATGCAGGTTTGGACTGTAAATAATGACCGAATTTTCATTTTTGGGAACTATTCCTTTAAACAGCTGCGTCTTCTCTGAAACAGCTGGTTGTTTCTGAGGGAAAATAAGGAATCTAAACTAAGAGAAAATACGTCACTCATCAAACATTGTTTAAGACACAGTAAACATTGCCTCTGATTGGTCAGTGCTCAGTCCACTTTGCCCTTTTATGAACCATCAGAAATGTGGGATATATTAAGTGGTCCAAACAGCCTTTTTGCAGTCATCTCCAGAGGGATTTGTCACTCATTTCGCCAATTCGAATAGTCAAGTCCTCTGTGTATGTACTGCCAAATAATTACCATTAATTGGAACATCTGTCCACTGATGGACACCATACAACTGTCATAAAGGCAAACAAAGTAAAGCAGGGTCGTTCCCACACTTCTGATTTTATTCTGAAGTGGAAGCAAAGCATGAAGAACAACACACAACATACATTTAAAAATAAAGAAAAGATTGTCTATGACTGCATACTGATAGTGAGTTTGGCTTCTTCTTTTATGATATGATAATATGAGCTGGGAAAAAGCAGGAGGAAATTTTCAAAAGTCCTTTGAAACACAGTCATCACTGAAACATCTGGGTTTTTAAAAGCTTCAAAGTAGGATATTAAAGGTCTCATCATAATACTATGAGTATCTTTGTTCCATTAAAAAAGTGATATATCTTCTGCAGTGTTGGGGGTAATGCATTACAAGTAACGTGAGTTACGTAATCAGATTACTTTTTTTCAAGTAACTAGTAAATTAAAAAAAGTTTTTAATTTACAAGAGAATATCTGAGTTACTTTTTCAAATAAGTAACGCAAGTTACTTTTTTTTTCAAATTTATTGATTGACAGCTCTCCTGTCCCCATGTTGAGAGAAATCAGATGTTACTGTAGTTCTAAAATAAATATGAATATGCATTAATTCATCTCACTCACACACAAAAAAAAAACACAGATTCAGTATTCCTCAAAATGAATAAAAATAATGCAACTCAGAATATGACGCAAACCTGCAATAATTACATTTTAAACAACACAAATATCCTTTATGTATTTAATCCCATTCTATTAACCAATGTCTTTGCTTCTGACCTTCGATGATCCAGTTCAACCATACTAATAAGCAAAAATTACTCTAGACAAACATTTGTGTGTCTTTTTTTATTGCTGAAGTGTGTTGAAATTTCTTCTTCTGCATTCTACTGTACGGATGTAAATTTACTTTCCCTTCAGCCTGAGGCTTATTCATTTCACTTTTGGTGCGAAAAGGCTTTTATATTTGCCAAAAATAGAACTTTTTTATTTTAAAAACAAACAAGCAAGCCCTGTCCAGATTTAAAAAGTAAAGCAAAAGTAACGTAACGCATTACTTTCCATAAAAAGTAACTAAGTAACGTAATTAGTTAC